CTAAGTGTTGATAACTTTGTCTACCATAGGAATCTCATCTTTATAATTGATACATTCTTCTCAATTTATGTCTAACATTTGAATGTGATTTTGGGGATAAGTTAATTGGAGTGCAAACTCTAAGTGATTTCTAAGAATTAGTTAATGAAGCCTTCATATCTCTTGTGATAACTTATAAGATATCCGCAGAGAGCAAATCCATTGAGGCAATGTTTGACTTAGTATTATAACCCCGTAGAAATTAGTATGCATAAGAATCACACTTCATCCAAAGGAATATCCTAGTTCATTTGGTGTCACGTTTCAGCCAAAAGAATATCAAAGATGATTTTTAGAAATACTTGGAGATTTTTTACATTTTTCTAAACTTCCAAAAAAAATGTCCTTAGCCGAAGGTCTCACAAAAACAATCTCTCAACTCTTAAAGGAAGAGTTAAAGTCTATGCATATCTCGATCTATGTGTATCTTATCGAGACCCTCTTTCCAAGTGAGGCATATTTTTTTAGTTTGGATCCTCATTTCCTAGTTTTGACTATTTGGACACTGGCTGCAGAGGTCCTTTTGTGACTTGCATTACAATGGCCTGATGCCGGCCAATGTTTCACATGATATTCTTCAAGGACCTTTGCATTATTGAAGTTCCTAATGAAATGTGCTGATGAAATAATGATTTCTATGATCTTCTGAAAAAAATAAATTTAATATGCTGGATTCAAAACTTTCTGAACTAAATTAATGTCTTTTCTGTTTCCTGGTAGTGCAGGCGGTGGAATTTGGGCTGCTTATCCGATTATCTTCTCCATCAATTATTATAATGGTGTTTTCCACCTTATCATAGCCGTAACTCTGTCCATATCTACCATGTCCACATTTTTCCTCACTGCATTTCGATCTCCTGGCGCTCCTCCTAACATATTGTGGGGTAGCTATCCTGCAGTGGGAAAAGGTGGTCTTGAGAACTATACATTCTGTCACCACTGTTCGAAGCCAAAGTCACCTAGGACACACCACTGTCGATCTTGTGGGATGTGTGTTTTGGACATGGACCATCACTGCCCCTTTGTAAGTATCGATTACTAGTAGTGATTACAAAGTATTATTATTTTTATTATTATTGAAGTTGTTTTTATTGTTGTTGTTATTGTTATTGTTGTTATTATTATTAAGTGTTGCCATCTTAGGGTCAGTTTGGATGGAGAGATTTAGGGGAATGTTTTACAGCACTTAGCACATGTTCTCTTCATCTATATAATATGATCTGATTTTTTTAGAACTGATCTAGTTGGAATGGTTATGGTCTGATTTCTAATATGAATATATCTAAATCTTTCTAGTCTGGTATGGTTTGCACCGAATGTTTTTGGTCTTTGATCTGATTAAATAAGAGAAATGTTGAACAGAACATCATCTTAGGGGCTGTTTGTTTCAGGCTCTTAATGGTTCAGATGTCTGAATGGTTCAGCACTTAATGGTTCAGATTGTTTGTTTCAGCCTCTTAATGGTTCAGATGTCTGAATGGTTAAGAGATTTGCCTCTGAATGATTAAGTATTATACAGAGTCTGAATGGTTAAGACCTCTTATCTGAATTGATCAGACATTTGCCTCTGAATAGTTAAGCAATATACTAGCTTTTAATGGTTCAGACCTCTTACTGGTTCAGCACTTAATGGTTCAGACTTCTTACTAGTTCAGCACTTACCGATTCAGAAGTTGCCAAACAGCCCCTTAGTCTTGATAAATATAATGTTTCTAAAATGAGTAAAAGGTAAGCAAAATGTTTTGCTATCAGTAGATCACATATTACTTCCTCTTTCAATTTTTGTAAGATCTCAAAAGTATACTCGGTATATATCAAGATAGTCCAAGTCCTTCAAAAACTTCCTCTCCAAAACCCTCCATCCAAACAGAACCTTAAGGAGTGTAGTAAGAGGCGAGTTGCAAATTATACTTTTCTCATACTCTTCTCGTCCTCACTCTTTCCTTTTTCATTCAC